ACTACATGTACAATGTCATGAAGCACTGCACTTTGTGCGTGTGACTGTTCAGCCGACTCACATTGGGACTGTCGCGGTGGCTCAACAGTGTCACAAGCACTTGAAGCAGCAGTGTCGATATCCGTGTCGGCACTCTTCTCACTCCACGCATGTAGTGTTGGCGACGCATGACATGTTGGTTTTGGTCCGCTGCGAGGGCTAGACATGGCCGCATCAAGAACATCTAGCGCGCGTGGCCCATGCTCTTCTAGTAATCGGAGTCGGGTGCGGCGTTCGTCTTCAGCTTCATACTGAGTGCGAGAATGGTGGTCGCATTGTTGTAAACATTGTGCGAGCCTCAGCAAACACACGCATTAAAGTTCGAAATTATTCTCCCACGCGTCTTGTTCATCTAATTTCTTATCCTCGTTTGCGTCTTCTAAGCTCCGTCTAATATTGTCTTGGATACCCTCGATGTTTGACTTCAAACCGGACGCCTCATCGTAAAGGGAACGTGCGGCAGAAACATCTAGGCGGCCAAGAGCGTCTGCACTGAAACAATCAGTTCCTAGCAGGTCTAGGTGAATTTTTATCTTTTGCCTCACCCTCGTCAGTCGACGCTTCATGTTGGACCTCGATTGGATCATCTGCTTGTATTCGGGGTTGGACGAGACTAGCAGCCGCTCCGGGTCTCCTGCACCAGCGTCCGTGCCATCGGTCTGGTCCTTGCTGGCGTCCTCATTACCGGCTTCATGGGACTCATCCGCTGTACCATCCACGGCTCGTGGATCTACGCTCGTTTGAGCGGCTTGGGTCACCGGTAATTCTGCAGCAGCTGCACCGGTTGACTCGACAGGCTGTTCCTGTTCAGAGGTTGTTTGTTCGTTGGGTGACGACATCCTGGTCACAGCACCATGTCTCGATTGACGCACAACCTAAACGTCTCGAGAGAGTTTCACTTTACTAATCCCAACCAATCCAGTCACACAAGTAACTACAGTTAGTGATTCCAACTGAACTTACTTCTCAAATCCGTACCCTCATTCCCAAAGAGTTACTGGATACGAGCCAAGACAATGTACAACCTTTCTCTACCATCACAAAGGAATAATAACTGGCTGGCTGCCAGAGCAGCGGAAGTCAAGCCGAGAATGTCGCGTGCACTACGGACTGCACGATGGAACATGTAAACCTAGGAACGGCTATTCATGCACCGACTAGAGTAGAGGCAAAGTGTACTAATGCCAGTAATGGTGAAACACAATGTCAGTAGGGGACAAGAGTAACTAGAGTCAGCTATGCACGACTAGACCAGGCCGAGTCATGACAGCAGTCATTAGTAGACATTACACTACAAGTGGTACATCGGGATGCAGATCACGACACGGCAAGTCACAAACACGCCAATGTTGATGTTGTCGATGCCGTCCTCTGCAGAGCTTGCAAGTTGCGAACCAAATCCAGAAGACGCTGTCGATGGGAGCTGGGATCAGGCTGATCATGGTGAGAGATACTGCATCAGCTCCAACACCAACCAGTTCGATCGGTAATGACGCTCACTGTTCTCCGCCAGCGCACGAGTCGTAAATCCAAGCCGCCGCCTGTTCTCCTTGTTCCTCGCAAACAGGAGATAGTACAGAATCGTGTACTACGTCGTGCTCACTAGGCACAGCGCAATCCTGGTCTTCGTGCTGCTTGATACTCGCGATCAGCTGACTGCGCTGGGGGTAACACCTAGTTTCTAGTGTAGATCTACTCTTCTTCCTCGCACTTGAAAAAATCGCCATGTCGGAGGTGCTTTTACTTTTGGTCCTACTCGGCGCACTCAAATTTTGTTGCGCTGCTCTACCTTGCTTGAGAAAAACACCGGCATGGGTGATTCCGAAAGGTTTTTGGGTGCTGAAGCTGAAAATCGGTTTAAGAATCCCCTAAGATGCCATTTTAGACTTGAAAATCGCCTTCAATTTCTTCTTTGACTGATCGCAATGGCCTAATTTCGCCGCACGGCGATCAAAAACCCCACATTGGACAGCTGAAAACCTCAGGAAGCCACTGGTGACTTCAAAAATCCTCCAGAACTTACGATATCCCAGCGCACTGGCCTAGAATGAGCCGTCATCGGTCATCGCGCGACCAAACTTTTGTGTGTAGCGCGTGGAGAAAGTCCTCGAACCCAGTCGGCCAGATCCTGGAACCCCTACTGTATGGTCACGTGAATACTTTCGCTCGAAATTATTAATGGTGTGCAGTGCTATTCAAACCTGGCGCGAGATACGCACAGTACAGAAGTACGTTAGTACTCATTACTCTACTATTAGTAGGATTTTCTCGACCCGGGTTGATCTCAACCCTCCCCTTGGAGGGGGGGGGGGGGGGGGGTTGAAATTTCAACCCGGCCGGGTCAAGTGCAATGCGTCATGTAAACGCGCCATTCATTTTGTGTACATAAAAAAAAAGTAAATTATCGTATCCGTTCCCGAAGGGAACTCACGACGGCCGCTAACACCCGATAAACACTAGCGGCATTTTTGTGTAAATGGCGGGTTGAAATCTGACCCGGGTCGAACTCAACCCAGGTTGAAACGCCTCATGTTAACACAGCCTTACTTAATACTATACTGGTCTTCAGTTGCATTACTACAATGTAGTGCATCACTCCAGGGAATCAACCGCCTGTATTCGCCTGTATTCAGAAGAATTTGTAAAGCACTTCCGTATCTATGGTAACCAGTGTGAAAACAGTAGAATAGTGCTGCATATACTAATAAACTTGAAAATACCGCCATTCCGGCAACAGGCTCTCAGCTACACCAAATAGATAACTTTGCCAATATTTCGCCCATTGGGCACCATCAGAGCATTGAGGAAGGGGAGGCAAAAAAAACGAAATATAAAGACGAATAATGCAGGCAGATGAATGTTCTAGAACTAACACATCGTGGTAACACAATAATGAATTGGCAAGGCCAGCAAACTAAACAATCACTTGTAAGGTGACCTAAACAGAACGAAAGAAGAGAAAACTCACACGTACACACAGACACAATTTGGCAAGAAGGCAAGAAAACTAACACTAACACTGAAGAAACATATACTAATAAACATGATAATATCATATCATTAAAATCTTTGGTTTGTGTCTTTCCCTCAAACCAGTTAGTAAAAATCATTAATCAATTCAAGTGTTTGGAGTCGCAGTGTTATGGGAACACTACGTCACTAGTTCATGCAACACATTCTAGGAGTTCTAAAAGCAGGCCTATTTACATACAAAGTAAAAGCAGCTCACGAAAAAAGATCATGCAGAGAATCATGGATGGCCGCTGAAAGGCCAAGTAGGGAGTCAAGTTGGCAAGACGGTACAAATGCAGTTCAACAAAACAGCAAACCTACACAACCATCACCTCTAGCGTGCACTGCACACGCACGCCGTAATCTAAGCAGAAAATAACTGAATGGACGTCAGCACCAGCAGTTTGCATTGCGGATACACGTGTATGTGCCGGGAACGCAGCAGTAGAAACTGACAATCAGTCAGTACACCAGCTTCTGGCAATAGTACTGCATGCTGCAGCTTGATGCGGGCACGCAAAACTGCTGCAAAAAAAACAAGTTAAAAAAAAGTCGGGATCTATTCCTAGTTTCTACCTACTAGATGAATGTACTGCAGTGGGTGTGTATATGCTGTGTGGTGGCTGACTGCTCACTGCCAGAACGCGGCTTGAAGCTGCCATCGCGGAAACTGAACCTCACATCACCTGTGTGTGTGTGTGTGTGTGTGTGTGTGTGTGTGTGTGTGTGTGTGTGTGTGTGTGTGTGTGTGTGTGTGTGTGTGTGTGTGTCTGTGCATGCATGCATATAATTTACATGTAACTGGCCACGTATACATAGATTGCATGGCAGTTACGGTATCATCGTTGTGTCCAGCACAAATCAGTCATCTCTTTGCTTAGCTTGATACTCAGTGTGCAGCATGCGGCGATCAGGCCAGCAGGAAACATCCGATGATGTCGTTTTACGCGAGTAGGCGAGTTCAAGTCCTGCGTCACGCTGCAGCTGCACTAGGAACGTCAGAAGTAGCTACAGAAGCAGCAGCACCACCAGCATCACTGCCACCACAACCACAACCACCAGCAACAGCAGCAGCAGAAACAACACCACCAGCATCACCACCACCAGCAGCAGCAGGAACAAAAACAGAAACAGATTTCGAAATGAACTTAGAACCTCGTTGGAACAACCAACTTCATGGCTTTCGAAATCTTCATTTTACACTTTAGGGAAAGCGTGAGGACTACTGCAAAACTTAAAAGCGACAACAGTGGTAAGAGAGCGCCCATCTGATGGGACTAGCCATTTCAGAACCTATAATTATAATGTGTTTCTGCACATCTTGACCACTGAAGAAGGATGACAGTTTCCGTAAAGACTGGGGGTGCTATTCTGTGCATCAGAGAGTGGCTGCAAAGCCTACATTCCAAGGGGAGGGGGAGGGGGTTACGACTGTAAGATACTGTAAATAAAAGACAGTAGAATACAGTGGAGTAGTTCGCCATCACCAGAAATCACCTTCTGTGTAATATAATCACTAGGTCTATGTTTTCAAATGTTGAGAGGTCTCCACTCATCAAATGTTGCCCCCAATCCTTCTAGAACCAATCTTTCTCAAAACGGTACTGGGAAATTTGACACGGTATGCCCTGCGGGTGACAATCCGGTGCATTTTTTCAGATTCTCTTCCCTATACTTCAATACTATTTCAGCAGACTGATGAAAACTCCTTTGTAAGGGGAATGCGTCACAGTTGCCATTTTCGGGGAACACTGTAGTCGCACACATACACCCGCTGCTGAAGTTTGATTTCACGATGGTCAATATTCACGTTATGTTCTTCTCCCAAAATTAGCAAACATCAGTACGTCGCAAACATTTCGGCAGTTTACAGTAACACCACCAACTGTGCAACATTTGAAAACATATGTGACAGGTGCTTTATTGGCGAGAGGCAAGCTGCTGTTTACCCGGAACTTGTCGACGGGTTCCAGCTTGGCCAATAACCTTCTCGCGCTGGGTGGTGGCTCGACTTCACGGATGCATTCAAGGAAGGTGTGGAAGGATTCGTCATCACCAGTGCTTAGTGCATCGAGCAATTCCTCATTCTGCGCTGCACGGCCAGTGTTTGATGCAAATAGCTGACGCTGTGCAAGCGTAATCAACTTCTTAGCCTCACACTGGCGACGCATATCACCTGGAGTTAGCGTGGAAACCAGGTCAGGCCGAAGTTCTGTGAAGACGTCACTCTTCCATGCTGTCATGTCAGAGAGCTGTTGGTCAAGAAACTCGTCTGAAAATGTTGGCACAACACACACATAGAGAAACAGAATCAAACCTTCGCGTAAGAAAAATCCATGAGAGTGAACAATCACTCTTGCTATCCTCTCAAGGAGAGTGGTGGGAGAGCAGTCCCCCCCCCCTCAAAAAAAAAGTCGCTCACCATATCTATCCAAGGCGAGCACAATACGGGTTTTTTCAACATCTTGCCATACCCTAATCGGATTCAATAACCAATAGCTGCCAAATTCGTTCTGGAAAATCGCCGTACGCACTACAAATGAAAGCTGTTCGGACCACACCTTTAATTTCCCTTCATCAATTTGGACGATGACACGCGCAATAGGAAATTGAGACAATTCGCATCCATGGTAATTTTGTAGTATTCATCGTGGAGCGCTACTTTCTTCTGTAGCTAACCGCTCAAGACCTGTGCCTGACGTCGCACAGGTCTATGCATGCCCGGACTGTCACGCAACAGAGGGAAATCCTTTAGGTCAAAATAATAATAATTGGCACCCAAGTGCGGAAGTGAAAATTTGCAACGGTACGTAAAATACCTTGCGAGTGCCGTAACTCCGCTATTCGACCTCGGATCGACTTCTGATTAGTTGGAGCCGACAACTGAGAACCTTCTAATACGAATAGACCTTTCGAGTACTCGATTCCGTTCAGGGAAAGCCGAGTTACGAAATATTTGAGTGTTTGCAGAATGCACTTCACAGTGATGCGGATGCGCTCGAAATTCTCAAGGCGCGCGACGAAAAGTGCGCCCAAAAAGAAAATAAGGAGAGCGAAGGCGCGCGAGAGCGATCGCTCTCCTTTTACCAGATGGTCTGAGTAACATCACCCTGAGGTAGCGTGCTCCACTGTTCAAAGAGTGCTCAATACCCATATAGGGCAGAGCCTTCCACACAAGAGAGAGAGAGAGAGAGAGAGAGAGAGAGAGAGAGAGAGAGAGAGAGAGAGAGAGAGAGAGAGAGAGAGAGAGAGAGAGAGAGAGAGAGAGAGAGAGAGAGAGAGAGAGAGAGAGAGAGAGAGAGAGAGAGAGAGAGAGAGAGAGAGAGAGAGAGAAAGGTACGGCCATGGCCGTACCAGGTTTTACCAATTCCAGCGTTCATGGCAGCGCAGTATGCAATTGATAATCTGGAAGTATGAAATAATCTATCGTCATGCGCTCCTCTCTGACTAGAGTCTCTCATTTTTAAAATGTTCTCCTTGTCAAGCAAGATCTACTGTGCTAGCTGCATATCTGTTGCTACAGGAATATGTAGCTGAAACAAACACATGAATAGGGGCGCAAACAGAATACAATTTAGGCTTAGGCCGCATACCACCACACGATCTTCACGCTTTTGAGGGAGGCGAGGAGGAAAGCAGTATGATGATCATGAGCAGCGCCCCACCCGCGAAGCGTCAACAGTTATTATTACGTATTAATAATGTGACGGCTGATGGAGAGAATTTTGAGAGGTAGTGTTAGTACATGTACTTATTTTCACATCCGCACTTGCTCACCACCTCCGATACTTTGTTGATATTGACATGCTAGTCCGCCTGCAGGATCTCTAGCTGCCCTCTTAGGCGTAGATGACATCGAAGAGTGTCTCGGTAGTAGGCACTCCTTGTCAGTGTTTGATGCTAGATAGTGCATGTCTGACAAGTCACAATCTTATCAAGTTGGTCACAACTCTCTAATGCACAACTTGTGCCCCACTTTTTCCAATTTTTCTAAATCCAAAATTGTTGTATAATGGTGTGTTGTTTTCCTGTGTGAAGGCATTCCTCAAACTGTCTTCGTCTAGTCGCATGCATGCGCCATATGAGCATGCGCAATGTTGTAGTCGAGAGTCCTTTTGTCAGTCTTCTTGTTCGTCTCTTTGAGTGCAGTCTGTGTTTCCGTCATGTCAATGAGATAATAATGTAACAAACAAGTCTTGTCCTTTGTGTCCTGCGTCCCGGGGAACGAAATGGCTGTGATTCCGTTACAAAGTCAAATGCTAACTTACTCTTTTCTTTGTTGTTGAACAAGCCAGTGAGTGAGCCGACAAAATCTGCATGCGACCTGATCTGCAAGAGACTAGAAATACAAAGAGAAAGACAAGAACTTCCGTGACACCGTGCGGAAAGACAAGGCTCACAACAGTACCATACTTTGCAACATTATCATCGAGAGTAAACGAAGGTCCCAAGAGTTTGCAACTGTACATGGGTTTCCCATGGGTCCATTGACGGCAACAACTCACATCATGTGGTACACTGGTCACATAATTGTATGTTTCCAGCCCCCTTTTGGCCGAAGGAGTGGAACAGTAAAAATAGCACTCCCTGACAAAAACATACTCAGGTCATGGGAGTCATCATCAGCAGGCATCCAAACTGTGACAACAGTATTAACACAGCCCTACTGGAAAACAGGTGTATGTAGCGCGTGCGACACCTTCGAGTACTAATTTTTTGACCCCGCCCGTCAAAGTGACTGGTACCGTATTTTTCCGGTTGTAAGTCGACCTTCTACGACTTAAAATAGACGGTGAAAGGGTGGGGGTCGACTTACAACCGGGATTCGACTTATAACCGGGAACTATCAGTATCTTACAAAAAAATGACCTGCACTGCATGCACGAGTGCACCATGTTTACACATTGTTGCCAGTTTATTGGCATTTTTTAAGGATTGGGACGTTATACCCTCCAATAAGGAATGTTCACATGATTTGTTGATGTGTTAGTAGCAGGAGGTGGTTAGTAGTGCTTCGTTGGGTGAACACTTTAAAACTCAGAATTGAGACCTCCGGATACAGGTATTCCTGACTTTTGTGTCTAGGCTAACCACATCTATGATAGTTTCAATAGCTTGTGTATATGTCAGTTATAGTAGTCCGCAATGCTGCTTTTCTAATTCTCATTATGATTAGCATGCAATGTACTACACGAAGTACTGAATTTACTTCTTTTGTACTCTATATTCTAATGTATCTTCTACCTCTTCTCCCCTACGAACATACTTTCTCATTTTCCATACTTACTTAGGAAACTCCCTTCGATAGGCATCTATTTGCCTCTGGACTAGGATCCGTGAAATAAAAATCAATCAATCAAAAAAATATGGGGGTCGACCTATAACCGGGGTCGACTTACAACTGGTAAAATACGGTATGTTTTATTTAATGTTTTTTACCATAATTACTTTTTTCTGTGAGAACACTGGCATACACTGTACGCACGGTACGTGTAGTGTAGTATGAAACGTACTCAGGACATGTGCATGGTGTGGTCTCTTGCCGTCGGAGACCCCATGTGCAGAGTTGCACTCTTAGGAACTGCTGCACAGCCTAACGCATGAGCCGCATGGTGCATAATACGTGTACGGCAGGTTTGGGCCAAGATCCTGCCAGTGGTTGTTGGCGTGTTGCATGGATTGGGCCCCTTTGCTGCGAAGTTCGTAAAAGAACTGGGCACCCCAGCCAGAGTCTTTGAGGAAGAAACACTGTCCAGAACAGTTGGCATCATTCGATCAGTAACCCAAATGAATGTAAAAAATTAATAAAAAATATTTTTAAAGGATTGGGAGAGCTTCAAAATTCAAAGAATCAGTCGGGGAAGTGAACTGCCTGAAAAGAGAACAAATGCCAACCCCATCAAGACACGAACCCGGTCCCTTGCTTGTCATGAGCAATGCTCTCAGCCATCGGAGCTATGGGACCAGACCGAAGGCTAGAAGGCGCTGTAAAGCCTTCACTCCAAACTCTAAAGGCAGCTCACAACACGTGCCACATTACATACTGATGGCACTTGGGTGTTTTCCCTCCCCTAGGGGACCAACCACGGTCAATTTCTGGAACGCACTACCAGCGGTGAAAGAATTAATTTAATAATTATTGTAACGTTACACCAACCACACCGTCGATTAAAAGGTGACATTGGCTATGGCCCAGTATGGGGATGAGGTTGGCTTTCTTCTCCTTTCTTTTTTTCTCTTTTTTCCTCACACACATGTACAGCAGCAGTACCGCCCATGGTCTCAATTGACCAAGGATGCTGCCTCAGTAATCCAGACACAAAACCAGTACTCTGACTCAGGGTTCTAGCCAAATGGGGGTGTAGGGGGCACATACATATTTTTGTGTATGGCGCTGCTTCTAAACTACAACGGAGTGCATGCGCACTGCGCTGGCATTTAGAATACCATGGATCTGGAATAGGAAGTACGTTGTCACGGATGCAATACGGTGTGTTGCTTACCCGACTTCACCGACATCACCGAGTCCGTCGCCACCGGAGCCAGAGGAACGAAGAACGAAGTCTCCCTCAACCTGCATTCAGAACAGAGCCAAACCAGCAGGGATTGTCATATGATGTGTTTGTCGCATGACGTGTTTGCAATACTTTGCATGCTTGCAGCAGAAAATGCACACCCACCCGAGCCAAAGTGAAAACAGAGTTTTCTCAGCCAGTAGTCGCACCACGAGACCAGCCAGAGACCACGCAAGTTGCGCTCAGCCCTGGCTGACCCCTGAACAATGTCACTCTATGCATGTATGTATAGATTATAACAGGGGACCTCGTGTATATAGAGATATATACACCAGTATAAAAACAGAGGCGAATCCGAGGTTTTTTTAACTGGTGCGAGTGTGTATCTCGATATACACGAGGTCCCTTTGTTATAATAAGTATAGATTATAGACCGGTTAGGAGGTCTATACAGGATAGACCGAGTAAAAGACCGAGGTCCCCCGAGGTCTTTTACGAGGTCTATATGTTGGACTCAGTAGAGCGTCCAGCCCCTATATGATGTCCAACCCCTATATAGAGTCCATTGGTCCAAAATCCACTGTACAGAGTCCAAACTTGGAATCAACTGTGAGCTCAAAGTTTAGATGGACATCACTCCCTGTATAGAGTCCAGCCAATTGGCTTCACCTCTATATAGAGTCCATTGGTCCAAAATCAACTGTACGGAGTCCAAACTTTGAAATCAACTATAAAGATTAAAGATTCTTTATGTGGACAACACTCTGTGTAAAGTCCAGCCAATTAAGCATCCCCTAACGAGTTCGAAATTAGACATAGGATCTGCTGTAAGCAGTGAATATTAACCAGAAAACGGCCTCTCCCTTTAATCCTTTACATCATTCACTTCTCAAGAAAAAAATATGTATTGAGGCACCGCTGCAGCCACTTCATTACATGAAAAAGCCTACACACACCATCCTCAAATCAAGTGGTCTCTTCGCAGACGCTGCAAATTATCTCAATCATGTAGTGTTGCCAAATTATTGTGCACGCACACATACATGCACACACCCACACAACGCCAAGAAAATACCTAGAAAAAAACAAGAATCGAAAGAGAATAATGGAGAGCCCAGGATTAATTATTTGTTTTCAAATTATTGCGCGCGCGCGCGCGCGCACACACACACACACACACACACACACACACACACACACACAAACTTACACAATGCCAAGAAAACACCAAGAAAAGAGTAGAGACACAATACACGCGCAACTCCACCAGCCATACAAATGTCCACCCATTTACACGTAAAGTCAAGAGGGATAACAAATAATTATACGAAACGAATGCATACAGGGACGGGTACACGCACGTTTACATACACGTAGTAGTGTAAGAGAGTAACATAGTGCAGTGGTCAGCATAACACTAGCACATGCTGAGAGTGCAATAGCAAGCTTCACCCTTGCTCATGGCCATGCAAATGTTCAGCAGCACTCAGTTCCGCAAGCTTCTGAAGATCAGCACACCTGCAACAAATAGACAGCACACGGATACGCTTATTACCGTAATGATGCATGGGAGCACACAACAACCAAGTTCTCCACGAATGTGATGCTCAATGAAAATCAATCCACTCAAAGACCTGTGAACAGGTGACGGTGGGGACAATAATCTATTAGTAATACGAGGAATAAGATCGTTTGTGCACACTCTAGACGCACAGACACACCAACATCACAATGTCATGTTCGTGACATCAAAACGGTTACTTCAGGGAATACGAGTATTAGCTTGAGAAGCTTTTTCTTGTCATTGGCAAACAAGCAATCCTCCTACTACTACTAGTACACTGGCACTGCGTTTGTGGATCCCATTGTATTTGACATCATACTAGAGGAAGAGTGTCGTGGAGTTTCACATAATTATCACAGGGATAAAAATACATTTCTCATGAAATAATTATAATTGATGATAGCTAGACGATCGTATACGATTGATGCAAAGTCCTTGCAGTCCTTGAGGACTATTACGAAGTGGTTGATTACTTTTAGGGCATTCATTCAAGCAACATCAAACAAACGCGATACTCTCCTTGAAAATGGAAAAAAATTCAAGCATAACGACAGAACAGCAGACCAATCGAAACGAGTAAAAGCTTCCTTACCTCAGTCATCGTCCTGCCATGTAGTTGGACAGCCTTTTGACACGGTGGTACAGGCAGCTCTTGTCCAGTCAAACAGGGGTATCCTTGTGGCGTCGAACGAAAGAGAGTGTCAGTGTATCAGTATCTGACTCGTCAAATTGGAACTGTGCTGAACATTTCTCTTTCTCCGTTTCTGCTTTTATCCCTCGCTCTGATGAAACCGTTCAAACGTCTTACTGGCAGCAATGGCCAGCCAAACAGGGAATCCTTGTGGCGTCGAACGAAAGAGAGTATCAGTGTACCTGACTCGTCAGATTTGAACTGTGCTGAACTTTTCTCGTTCTGCAATTTCTGCTTTCATCCCGCGCACTGATGAAACGTCTTCAGAGAACCACAAGACGCTTTCCAGATTTGATTTTGAACGTCTCCTTATCCTCCTTGGTTACCTCGAGACAGATTACTGTCAGCAACTGCACAGCAGAACTGGCAGCTAGCCATGGCTGAAGTGAAGAAAGGAATGCGCTGCCACGAGGCAAGCAAAACTGAAAATGTGCTTGTTCTCTTTCGGGCACAACACGTACACACAGGACGGCGTGACTGGATAAACTGGACTCCTGGACTGTGAATAGGGGACTTGTAGAAAAAGTGTACTCCTTATAGGGGATTGCGCGGCAGGATGAAGCTGATCAAAACTGAGTGGACTCCTGGACTCTGTATAGTGGATTTGGACCAATGGACTCTATATAGGGTGCTGGACATCATATAGTGCATGGACTCTATACTGAGTCCTACATATATATCCTGTATAGACCAACTATGAGGTCTATAATCTATTTATCGTGTTCTCCACGCAATAGTTTCTCTTCATATACGACATATCCTTGTAATTCTAGTATTATACTATAGCCTATACCGCATTGTACTGCATTGAAAGTCAAGATCATTGTTTAAACTAGGTTCAGCATCGGTAGCACAGTGGCTGGGTGGTAAGGAAGAGTAACTGAGATTCACAAGGTTGTGGGTTCAAATCCCATCTTGTGTATTTCTGCTTTCTACAAAAAATTCTTTTTCTAAGTTGGAGAGAAAATTTCTAAGTCCAAGAAGTTCTAAAGAGTCAAATATAAGTAGTCAAATATAAGTAGTCAAATATATCGCGTATTTGACTAAGCAGTCAAATACGCGATATATTTGACTGCTTAGGTATCAGGGAAATTAGTGGGGTCAAATACTAAGAAGGCGATAAGTATAATTATGTTATCGCATGGTTGCAAGGGCCTTATGGCATATTATTGCCCCTCGAGGTTAGCCCTCGGCCCGAGGGCTAACCTCGAGGGGCAATAATATGCCATAAGGCCCGCAGCAACCATGCGATAACAAATTTATCACATGGCCCACAGAGCAGACCATTGGGCTGCTGTTGAAATTAGCCCAAATGCCAACACATTATGACCACAATGTATATTGATGTGCTATCATTATCAAAACAGGAAAAATGAAGATATTTCTCCTACACCCTAACAAAAAGTCTTCTACAGGCCATCAGAGAGTATACAGTACTGAAAGACGGAGACAGAAAAAAGTGCCGGCACCGCATCGTCATAGCAATAGACATGGCAACGACAATAAAATACAGCAGAATCATAATTTCAATTGAAAAATTAAGAGTGCTACCACAAAGAGTTTCTTCATGTTTACATGTGTATCAGGAAGTTGTCAAATACAGTACTGCAACAAGTGCAAGTATTTGACGACTCCCTGGTGTGTAATTCTGAGCCTGAGGACAATTTTTCTTCTTTTTTTTCAGCTCCAGATAGCTGTATTTTTCATTGCAAAACATTTCTGAATTGTTGTGTTTGTTGTTCAAGCAAAGGTGAGATTTTTGCGTGGCACATGAAGACCACACACAGGCATGCCGGCAGTGACTTTGCGAGGATTTGAAAACGCACGACGCTGAGTTGAATTTGTGTTATTTCAAATAATTGTTTGTGATCACAGTACCACTTCGAGCAGAACTGAATCTTATCCACAAGCTTACCGACGGTCAGGCTGCCAACATGACTGAACAAATGATCCCTGCAAGCACCACACGGCAGACGTCCGAGGCCATGTCCAATGCCGGGATGTCCATCTCCAAAAAGAATTCCATCTTCGTCTCAATGCTACACTGCGACTCGTCGTAGAGTCGTACAGTCTACACTGACTACAGTACAGAGTCGTCGTACGATCGTAGTCACGCGATCACTGAAATAAACTATTTTTTTGCGGGCAATATCGCATATTATTGCCCGCGGCGCGAAAGGTGCTGATTCGCTGGAGTACGGGCAAAAATCACGTGCCATGTGATAATTATAATTATACCTCTCCATATTCACCCTGGGTGGCCAACTAAATGGCTTGTCCCTCGCTGATAACTACTGCTAATTTCCCTTAGTGGTGTATATGGAGATATATACACAGTGGTGTATATGGAGATATATACACCACTAAGGGGGGCATGTCTAAGACTGTGGGTGTATATGGAGTGAGGTATAAATTGATATTTATATTTGATAACCGCAATCAGTAATACAAGCTGGATCGACATTTGTGTACACTGTCCTTATATTAATATTATATTTTTAAGGATTCTCCAGAGGCAAATGAATGCCTATCAAAGGGAGTCTGCTGGGGAGAGGAAGTGAAGGTGGCTGTTATGAGAGAGGGAGGAAGGCATGTGACGCAACACAAGCCACAGCGTGACGTTGAGCAGGTTTCTCAGCAGCTGAGCAGTAGCAAGCTGGCGCCTACTAGTATTTCGGATGAATGCGCTGTAGTGTGTGCAACCTGTGCAGACCAGGTAGCTAAATCAGAGTTGAGTGGATCTGATACTGATAAAGGCTTCACCAGCACCATTAATTACACAAGAATTACCCTAGCCAGAAGTAGCTCATTGTTCAACAGGGACTGTAATTTCTGGAGTATACATCGAACTTTAAACACTCATTTAATTTAAGGTGAAGGCCATGATAACAATTACAGTTGGTTCCTGGGCATCAGCGTGTGAAAATCAGTGAGAGCGGGTGGATTTTTATATCACACGGAGGAAAGTTTCTCAATGCAACATCGACCGGTTGATGTTTCATTCCCGGATCCTGCTACACACAGCTAGACTGCAGCCTTGGACTGCATGCAGTAGACATGACAGGACACAGTACACATTGGAGTCGTGTTTCGCGCAGCCACACTAGGCCACACTAGGCCACACTAGGCCACACTAGGCTACACTAGGCTACACTAGGCTAGGCTAGGCTAGGCTAGGCTACACTAGGCTACACTAGGATACACTAGGCTAGGCTACACTAGGCTAGGCTAGGCTAGGCTAGGCTACACTAGGCTAGGCTAGGCTTCACTACTCAATGGGAGACATGCGTACAGTGGTAAGCAGTGCGGTGATTGCATATGATCTGATTGAAGTTCACAGTCACAGTGATGTGGCCTTCTGTTCTGCACACGCTACAACCTAGGCTTTTTTTATTTAATTTTTTATATTTTTATATTTTTATATTTTTTATTTACAACCTATCCTTACATACTGTACAGAAATAATAATACAGCTTCTGGTGTGCCGCCAAACATTGACGCGAACGTACTCGAGAGCCGAACATACTTTTCCCATGGCCTACATGTAGGATGGTCAACCGGACTGTGCACAAAGTAGCCTGCGGTAGGTTGCGTAACTGGAAATGTTTTTCATTAACTTAATTTATTTTATTTAAAAAAAACATGCACAAGTTCTCAAAAACAACAGTGCACTGAGACGACCATATATGGCGACACAACCGGGCGCATGCGTATGGATATCGCACATTGGATCAATGACAGGACATTTTGATACAAGTCACTTTTTCTCTTGCTCAAGGTCGTTCCTTTTCAGTTTCACCCGCTGTTCAAAGCTGAATCATGGCAGTGTCGAAACGTAGCGGCTATGAGACTCTCTTCAAGCTGAGAGTCAGTGAATCTGCCAATTTTTCCCCGATCACAGGCTGCACTAGATTATAAGTCGCACCCCCATTTTTAGGTTTGAGCAATATCTTTGGGATATAATCACTTCAGTAGGAAGTCATGCTGGATTGTAAGTCGCACCACTTTTTTTACCCTGAATTTTAGTGTAAAAAGGTGCGACTTATATTCGGGGGAAAACGGTACTCTCCATTTTGTATTTCCCACTTCTTTGCCAAAATGATTATTCAGAACCCATCTGGGATAGAAGAGCGCATGCTCCAGTGGTCCTTGCCTTCATTCTTTTCTTATTCGTACTATTCATTCCTGTGTTATTATAACTCCGTCCTATCATAAAGCTATAAAACCTGTCCCATGAGGGTGCCCCGGGAAAGGACTTTTTAGGCAAGTGTTAGCCACTCTGGTTAAACATTATGATAGGACGGAGTTACATGACACTGGAGCATGCGCTCTTCTATCCCTGATGGGTTCTGAATAATCACTTTGGCAAAGAAGTGGGAAATACAAAATGGAGAGTACAGAGTATCTTAAACTACATGGATATCTTAGCATACCGTAAAATTGCGGATAAAAGCCGGGTTTGCATACAAGCACATCGCGGATAGAAGCCTGAAAATCAAACGGGTCAAATGCATATAAGCCTGTCGCCCGTAGAAGCCTGGCTTCTATGCAAGTGCGGATCGGGTAGGTCAAAAGTGCATGCGCTATGTACGGTGCACAGTAAAACTGCCGCGTACCGGTAGTCAGTGGTAGATCTATGCGTGTCGCGCGCAGAAGCCTGGCTTCTATGTGCATACAAGCCTGGCAAAAACATCAGTGGTGCATATAAGCATGGCTTGCATACAAGCCTGGTTTGTATTAAAGCCTGATGCAGAAAGCGGCTTATATGCTAATAAGCCCGGCTTTTATCCGCCACTTTACAGTAAGTACCAAAGGTTACTTAGGCTATCGTGCTGCTGGCCGTAAATTCCACATTGATGAACGCAGGGTTTGCCGATGGCGAAAAAACCCTAAGTCGTCAGCAATGAAAAGAACTGTTTACGCAGCAGATGAGGGGTGCGGCTTATAGACCGAATACAGATTAGATGTCGATATTTCGTGACCGAAAAGATCTGGGTGCGGCTTATACTCCGGAAAATACGGTTTTTATACATTGAATAGAAAATATGGATCCTGAAATTAAGCATGCATTACACATGCACACACGTACGCATGTATGCACCATGCACGCACACACACGTACACATGTATGCACCATGCACGCACACACGTACGCATGTATGCACCATGCACGAACGCTCACATGCACACACACATGCACCACATTCGAATGCACACACACACACACACACACACACACACACACACATGCTTGCACGCGTGAACACGCACACATGCACACACATAATGACAAACACACACGCAAACCTATATAAACACATACCTGCTCAAGGCCGAGCCAAACCTCTGCTGCTTGGGGTATCATCCGCAGTACTGGAGGGCGAGGAAGACGGCAAACAGGCGCCAAACCCACAGTAACGTTGTGGAGAGCATGTGGGCAGCTGTTGTTGCAGGACTTTCTCCCATGCTCCAAGCATTTCACGCCAGAAGGGTGCTTACAGTCCGGTGGGCATGGAAGAACCTTCACAACGCTTGCCTGCAGCTTGCCCTTTCCCGACCATTCACTTAGCACATTCTCAACAGTTGACTTGAGCAGTGCTAGCGCTGACTGGCCTGTGCTGGCACAATCCTGTGCTTCTGAGCTCCGCTCCAGACAAACTCTTACACCGAACCGGGCATAGCTAAGCCGTAACCACTGCCAACCATCCTTGACCCAGTATAGCCGCACTCCATTGAAAGATAGACTACAATCGATGCGGTTTGACGACTCCTTGAGCATCTTAACCACGCATTGCCAGTACAGAAAGACAGGAAACGGGATTTGGTGTCCTTCTTCCCCTGTCTTCTCAAGACATACGAATGCTGGCGGTGACAGATAAGCAGATCTGGCTTCTTCTAGTGCTTCGTTGGGTACTACTGCTGGCATGATGAACTCTTGCTTCTGTTGTCCATTGCCAACAGTGGGCTGAGTGATAACTAGGACTGACAGCTCTTGAAGGATATGGAATGCATTGTCCCATTCTTTTTGATGGTCCTGAAGTCGTTTCCACTTTGCTGTCTTCTCTGCTTTTTTGGCAAATTGGTTGAAGGCAAACCTGGCCAAAGCTTCAGATATGAAGCCCTTGCCATAGCGTTCTTCATCGTAGTCAGACGGCGGCGACACGGCATCGCAGCTTTCCTCCAAGTCGATGTCTGCCAGGGCAGTCACACAATCCAGGACAAATTGCTTGTCCAGAATAACGAGGTGTTTGAGTTCATCAGTGGGGAAGTATGCCAAATGACCGGACTCGTGGCCGTACTTCAGCAGTTTCTTCATCCCTTCATCGTCGTCTCTCTCGATGGCATCCAGGTCTTCAGCAATGCCTTGAACCCTTTTTAAGTCCAGCCATGGTACCTGGATGGTTGTCTTCAACAGCTCAATGGCCATGCAAAAGCGCAGCCATGTCACAGGAATGTCGAGCCTGCTGGCTTCACAGCGATCAGCTATGGCCTTCTTCAGGGCCTTCGCACCATCATCGTCACCTGACTTGGACTTGGTGTTGTCGACTAGGAAGTGTGACTCTTGATTCGATACAAGTCGCTTGTACCGCGATTCCCTGATCCTTTTGTGAAGCAACACTCTCGGATCTGGCAGGGTTTCCTTGACCTTCTTTTTGTCATATTGGTCTCCATGACAACCGACCATGAACACATCTCCTGCATTCTTGTCCGTGTGATCAGATTTGCTATGGAAGAGTGGCATGTCGAGCCATGAGAATATTTGATCAATGCGGGTAGCATCACTTGGCAAAGTCGCACGGAGGACTTGTGTTTCAGCCCTCCGCGTTTCTTCAAGCTCTCCCTCATCCATCTCCGCCTCCAACTGCTTTGATGCATTGTACGCCACTATGAATGCGGTGTTCTTCATTATGAGCAGTGGCTGTACAGACTGGTAGATCTGCTGACCAGCGAGGTCTTGGAATGTGATCACGGTGAAGTTAGGTTTGGCAGCAGCTTCCTTGATGTACTTCACCATGTCAGCAGAACGAATGGCTTCTATTGCACGTTGCACTGCCACTAGGTCTTCTTCTCCTACTGAAGTCTCACTGGTGAGGTTTTGCCGTGAAGGATTTCCAGGACGAAATGGTGCAGCTCCGCCAAACGTAACTTCTTGTGACCTTGCCGCGGCATCACCGTGTGGAGGAGTAGAGCGATCTGAGTCGCTTTGTTTGTCCTTCAATATGGTTGTTACGTACAGCTGCCGCAGCGCTTCAATGACATCACTGCATACTGTGAATTGGCCATTTTCCATTGTGGTGACGGCGAATGAGGTTTTCATTCCAAGCGTGCTCTTCTCACAAGAGTCATGCCCTTCACCCAGTATGGTCTTCAGCAAGCTTGTCTTTCCACAACGTGCAGCTCCAAGAATTGCAATGTGCAAGAAGCGGACGCTTGTTGTGTCACCACGCCTTGCATCATCTCTTTTTGCTCTTTCCAGTTCAAAAAGGTGTTCTGGAGTGACACCGTCTGTTTGCAACAAAAACAACAGAAGAAACAGAATACTGTATAAGTACAAATGTTTGTTTGGAATTAACTTTCGCTCTATTCATTAGGGGGCACGAAATAACTAAGGTTTGTACCAAACAAAAGTTTTTTTCAGAACGTTAGAGTGACAGACCTCGACCATAAACGAAATTTAGTACGTAACAAGCCTGCCGGTGGAGTGATATAACGAAAGATTTCGTGAACGAAAATTTGTACTTATACAGTAGACGTGACTGCTTACACAATCAGGCCCGAACAAGTAAAAACCCTCATTCAACAGCAGGGTGAAACTCCCTTGCAGGGAAATTTTGGGCTACCGGTATATGTAATATAATATCTGAGTCTGCAGTTCTCTGAGCACTGAATCGGCTGGTTTGGGTCCGAGGAGACTGCAACGTACAATAAGTCAGATGTTTCCAACCAATGCCCGGCATTGCTGCATCCCGAAGGTAATGACATCAATGAGAACCACAGAGAAACATCTTAGGAATTTCAGTGCCGCTTGAAAGGCATATTATAGAAAGGTTGACTTGTCAATCAATACTAAGATTCAGGTGCTAATCATTCAAATGCTCAGTCAAAAGCGCCTAACTACGTACTGAAAAAGGTAGCAGTAAGTTATTGAGTGCTGTAAAGTATGACGTTTCCGCAAGTCACACTCTGTCAAATTGATTTACAAGGGACGGACCTGGCCTTTTCATAGGAGGATAAAATTGTGAATTCGTATATGCAAACAGCATTTTCACGGATAGGTTGTATTGCTTGGATGTTATTTGGCGAATAGAACGCAAATAGACTTAGATACAGGAAATCTACCACCAAATTAATGCAGAAGACGCTCATACATTTTTCCACTGGAGACTGGAGATGTGCACGTCCTGCTCCCAGATTAGTGTAAAAAAAATCAGTGTCATAGGTGTAAAGGTACGTGGAAACACACTCCCGCATGACGAGTTCTACTAACTTACTTTGCCGCGTTCACACACCCACGCTCTCTCACACACACACACACACACACACACACACACACACACACACACACACACACACACACACACACACACACACACACACACACTACTACTACTACTATTGACAGCTGCCAGAAATGGCCACGCCGCTCCCCAAAGGGAGGTACTGTCAGAGAGGTTAGGGGAGAGGTAGGCAGTGCTTCAAATGGCGCTCCAGGTCCTGTCGCCTCCGAAACTGGCGTTGACTACAGACTCGGCAATGATGTTCAAAGTGCTGGCGATCAGTCACTGTAGGGCGCTTCGGGCGGGGTCCACAGCGATGGCGCTTGAGGCCAGCAGTAGACTTGAAAGTACGCTGGCAGGCAGTACACACCGGGACCTCGGCAACAGGAGGAGCATCAAAAGGCGGTCGGTCGTCACAGTTGCCACTCCCTAGGCACTTATGCACTGCAAGCCCACCCCTGCTCCGGAGCCATCTACTGCAGGCAGGACACTGCACCGACCCAGGCTGCTGTGATACGGGGAGCTGTCGGACTGCTGTGCACTTGTGCCGGGCCATGTCGGCGCGCCGACGAAACAGGCGGCCGCAAACGTGGCACACAATCGTCTTCGGGGCAGGCTCCTTCACCCCCGCTGCTGCTGACACTATGTCACGCCACTCTCCGCGATCATTGGCTGATTGGAACCAATTGTGCACACCGGCCACAGTCAGATCAGCCTGGACAACGTCCTTCCAGCGATGTCGGGGGCCGCAAAACGGGCGGGTTCGTGGAAGATGAGCGAAGAGCAACTGCTTGGGTAACCGATTGTTATCAAGCCGAGCTAGGTGCCCAAGCCACTCCAAGCGTCTTCGCTGTACCATGCACGACAGTGGAGTAGGGTCACCCCACTGTGTGCGTAGTTGCTCCGATGTAATGTGCTGCTCCCACTGGCGGCCGCGCGAAATGCCAAGGATTGACCGTAGGTTGGCGTGATGGAACCTGTCCAGCTTGTCCAAGTCCGACTTCAATGGGGTCCAACACTCCGAGCCATACAAAACCGTGGTGAGAACACATACCACATACAAATGCCGTCAAGTAGGCAGGTTCAGGCTCTGATCATGTAAAATCCGCCGAAGACAGCCAAAGGCCCTGGCACCCTTCGCAAGGCGGCTCTGGACATCGGCATGAGCTCGCGAATCCGGAGTTATAACAGATCCAAGATAGGGGAAGGAGGTAACAGCTTCAACCCTTTCATTGCCAACTGCCAGATCGGAACAATCAGCGGCAGCGACTCCATAGCCCGCGACCAGTAGCTTAGTCTTCGTCATGCTGACCGTGAGGCCAAAGCTGGATGCCACATCGCAGAAGGCGGACAGGGACAGGTCGGCTGCAGCACGAGTTGTTGCGAGTAGGACGGCGTCATCGGCAAACTCAAAATCATCAGCATGACCAGTCTGAGACTGTCGACGTCGCCCAGCTGCACGGGGAAACAACTGTCCATTAATCAAGAAGCTGAAATCCACACCAGACTCGATGCCGCGCTCCCTGAGAACAGACCTCCACCGCTCCATCACCAATCCGAAATACAGGTTGAACAGCACAGGAGCCATGACACACCCCTGCCGTAAACCATTTTGTACAGAGATCGGATCGGTACAACCACCAGCAACACGAACAGACGCCAACATGTCCGTATGGAACGACTTCACGAGAGCCACAGCCTGAGGGGGGACACCGAGCCGAAGCAATGCCTGCCACAGAGCCTCACGAGGCACAGAGTCGTATGCTTTGCGGAGGTCCACAAAGACGCAAAACAGCTTCGATCTATGCTCATATGATTTCTCTACCAGTTGACGGACAGAGAAGATGGCATCAGCACAACCAC